AGGGGCAAGTTGCTTCAGGAGAAGCAGAAGCTGGAAAAGGAGCTGGAGGAGCTGGAGGCGAGGAGAGTGGCCTGGGAGAAGCAAGCGAAGGTGAGGAAGTTCTCAGCAGGGTCCCCAGCTGGCCCCGCCCGTCCGCTGGTGATTGTCGCTGAGGGGCCGTGGGCCTGGCGGGGGCCGATCAGTTCAGGGCTGGTTGCAGTGAGTGCGCTCGACTCCCATTCTGGTCGGAGAGGAGGGAACAGCAGCCCGCTAGCGGCTCTGCCGATCCGCCGAGTCCCCCGGCCGGAGTCTGGCTCTTGTGAGAAGTGGTGAGCACATGGGCTCGGGACCTTGCTTTTACATCTCGGCCGAGAAGATGCCTCCATCAGCGCGGCTCGGGGGAGCACCCTTCCGGAATCCTCCGTGTGCTGTGGGGGGTTGTTCCCTTGGAGGGCTCCCACCCCCATACTGACCCTGCTTCGCTTGGGAGGTCCGACCGGGTCCCTGCCCGGGCTGCTCCGGCGGCAGCCTTCCAGGCTTTAGAAAGCCGGCGCCCTAGGCGGGATTCGGTGGGGAGCTGAGCTGCAGGATCTCAGGTGGGGGCTGAGCGGGGATGGGCCCCCACCGTTTCCTCCCACCCCTCCCTGGGTGCAGCACTCCCTCACGCTGCTCGGCGTGCTTTCCCCAGGCGCCGCCCTCCCTGCCGGACAGAAAGATGTTGTTTACGGGACACGTGACGGAGGCCGAGGACGTGAACGCACTGGTGGTCGCCACTCGGGTCCAGCGGGCACTGCCTGGGGGCTCTGCCCTCCTCACCTTCGAGGAGCCGGAGGGTAGGTCTGTTGCTGCAGGCCAGCCTGCCTCTGGTCAGTGCCTAGTCTGGGCGGCCTCCCCGCTCCCCACACACTGGCTCAGACAAGCAGCCTGGTGCCCGCTTGGGGTCCCTCCCGCAGAGGTGCCTGGCCTGGGCGCGAGGCCCCAGCATTCCCCTCGCTGAGGGCCCTTCGTGCTGCTGTGGCTTGGAGCCCTGCTGCCCTTCGCTTTGCCAGGCTCTCTCTCCCTCCTGCAGAGCCTTCCTGTGTGGAGGCCGTGCCCCACGGCGCAGCTCTTCCTGTGGGGGGATTCCCTGCCTGGCTCGGCCCTGGCCCATCCCGTCCCAGAGCCGCCTGCCTGGCGCTCCCCAGTGGTTTCTCCCTGTTTGCAGTTGCCCAGAGGATCCTAGAGATGAAGTGGCACGAGGTGAAGCTGGATGAGAGCACAGGGTGTGAGGGCCGACTGCGAGTGCAGGCAGAGCCGGTGGAGCTGCTGCTGCCCTCAGCCCTGGAGGTGAGGCTCAGCTGCCGTGGAGTCTGCATGCCACATCCCTTGCGGGGGCCGCTCAGCATCCTTGGCTCACCGTCAGTGCCCGGGGCTTTTGCCTCCCCCGAGGAACTTCGGCCGCCTCTCGCACGCTGGGGGGATGGGCCGTGCCCGGCAGGGGCGGGGAGCCTCTCGCACGCTGGGGGGATGGGCCGTGCCCGGCAGGGGCGGGGAGCCTCTCGCACGCTGGGGGGATGGGCCGTGCCCGGCAGGGGCGGGGAGCCTCTCGCACGCTGGGGGGATGGGCCGTGCCCGGCAGGGGCGGGGAGCCTCTCGCACGCTGGGGGAATGGGCCGTGCCCGGCAGGGGCGGGGAGCCTCTCGCACGCTGGGGGGATGGGCCGTGCCCGGCAGGGGCGGGGAGCCTCTCGCACGCTGGGGGGATGGGCCGTGCCCGGCAGGGGCGGGGAGCCTCTCGCACGCTGGGGGGATGGGCCGTGCCCGGCAGGGGCGGGGAGCCTCTCGCATGCTGGGGGGATGGGCCGTGCCCGGCAGGGGTGGGAAGCCTCCCCATGTCCTGCAGGGCTGTGTGCCCTGCTGTGGCCTGTTCTCAAGGTAACCGGGGCTGTGTTCAGTACCAGCACAAAGCTCCCCCCATTGGAGGCCTGGGGCATGAAGCTCCCTGGTGCCCACCTCCTGCCATGTCCCAGGCAGCCAGGGCCCCCTCTTTCCAGGCTGGGGTCATGACGGCCTGGTACCTGCCCTGCAGATTGAGATGAAGCTGAGTGACAGGTGCATCCTGCTGTCCAGCCTCCCGCGCCTGGATCTCTCTGAGGAGCAGCTGCTGGACAAGCTGGAGATCTTCTTCAGCAAGAAGAAGAATGGGGGCAGTGAGGTGGAGCAGCGGGAGCTCCTGAGTGATTCTGGGCACGTGGTGCTGACCTTTGTGCACAATGGAGGTACGTGGTGGAGACGCTGAGAGCTGGGGTGGGGGGCCCTGGAGCTGTCAATCCAGGGAGGGGACAGCTACCTGCAGCAGACAGAGCTTCCCTCTGTGCGTCCGCCAGAGGGAGCCGTGAGGAGGGCTGGACTGGGGAGCAGGCTGGGGTGGCTCCAGGTTCCCAGAGGCTGCACTGGGCTAGGTGCCCTTGGCACCGGATTCCTGGGGTGTCCTTGGGCAGATGCTGCAGGCACCAATGCTGGTGTCTGAGCGGCCACTTTCGCATGCCCGGCACTGGTGGAAAGGCTCAGCCTGCGGGTGGGAGCAGGAGGTCAGGGCTTCTCTCTTCCTCGGCAGTGGCGGAGCAGCTAGCGAAGAAAGGACGCTTCCACGTCCCCATTGGGAAGCAGACGTACGAGCTCAAAGTGACGCCCTACATACGCGGACAGATCACAGACCTTCAGGTAGGGGTCGCGAGCCCCAGTGCGTTCCCAGCGTGCGCTGCTGCCACCCCCGGCCAGGTGTGAGCCCCAGCGTGCACTGACCGCACCCCCCAACGTGCACTGACCCTGAGACCCCTCCCCCCCACCAGCCCCGGCGTACACTGACCGTGCCCACTCCCCACAGCGGGCACTGGCCCTGACAGCCCTCTCCTCTGCACAAGTCCCAGCACATGCTGTCAGCGCCACTCCTGACCCTCGGACCACCCCCACCCTGGGCGTGAGCCCAGTGCCCATTTTCCACCCTACATGCACTTTGCACAAGCCCGCGTGCCCCACCCCGCCCTCGGCACGCTCCTGCGCTCGCTCTCCCTCGAGGCTGAAGGCACACGGCCAGCCGAAAGGGTTGATGGCCAAGAGCACGAGAGGCATGGAGGCAGACTGAGCTCTGTCGGGCAGGGGCTGTCTCTTGTTCTGCGTCTGCACAGCCATGACTGGGCTCCTAGGCCCCGTGGAAATACAGGTGGCAACGCTGGGGAGTGGCTGAGACACAGTGAGGAGGAGCCCAGCTGGGGAACCCCTGCTCTGCGTTCCCAGCACTCCCTGCTGCTGGGTCAGACTAGCCGCTCTGCAGGGACCCTGCCCCGATGGACAGCTGCAGGAGGCTCTGTGCAAAGCTAAGCGAGGCTCCGGAGCTTGCCTGGCGAGCAGCAGGCAGGGTTTGTGCCTCTGTGCCCAGGGCGTGTGTCACACCCTGCTCTGACCCCCGGGGCGGGGGGGGGTCTCTGTGGCGTTTAATTCCATCCATTGAGATCCCCAGCCACGGACGCTCTTCTTCCCTGGCTGCTCTCCCCGTAGCTCAGCCAACACCTCTGGCTGTGCCAGCAGGAGACAGCGCGCTCTGCGGGGTCACTCCTCTGCTCTCTCCCCCTAGGTCCGTCCGTCCGTCTGTGCCAAGACCGTGCTCCTGTCGGGGATCTCGGACATTCTGGACGAGGAGTCCATGAGGGACACCCTGGAGATTCACTTCCAGAAGCCCAGCCAAGGCGGAGGCGAGGTGGATGCCCTGGGATACGTGCCAGTGGGGAAACAGGGACTTGCTGTTTTTGAGGAGGACACGGACTGAAGCTCCTTCATGGACGTTAACCCGAACACAAGACAGTCGGCGCCCGGGGACTGGGCCTGAGACAGCCACAGGCTCAGAGCCCACGCGTGCTCCATGTAGCACTGTATAGATTAATCGGACTCTGATTGGAATTAAAGTATTTAGGGAGCTGCTCTGGGTCCTTGGCCGTGTTCTCAGGGCCGAGTGTGGATCTCTGGTGTTGTGGGGCTGGGCACGAGAGAAGGATCTTGTGAGAGAGCCATGGGGCGAGAGAACCCCATTTCGGAGCTTCCTGTTCCGGCCTGCGTGGCTCTCCGTGAAGCCCTGGCTGTCGCCAACACCCGGCATGGAGGACACGGGCATGAAATGGCGTGAAATGAGCAGTGGGTGAAATACCAACGGCTCTCTGCCCACCAACCCCAATAGCGTTTAGGCCCTACTCGGGCATCTCGTTCCAGCAGGGTGTGGGGTTAATAAATGAGTTTGGAGCCTGAGGGAGTCAGAGTTTAGCCAAACCCTGATATTTACATGGGGGTGTGGTCTCGCAGGAGTGTTAGTCAGAGACCCCCGCCCCCCATGCTGAATTTCTGCCCCCGCCGGGGTGGCAGGGGTGGGTGAGGCCTAGCCGTGCTGTCACTGGGCATCAGCCCCGTGGCTCTGCGGGGTGCAGGCTGGCATTAGCCGGCTGGGCAGGGGGCCATGACAGGTGTGGGGTGAGGTTCTTGGCCATGGGATGGGCCATGCAGGCAGAGGTTCCTGGGGGCAGGAGGGGTTGTATACCCAGCGGGACAGACAGACACCAGCATGACTAGTCTCAGGGGGCTGAGCAAACCCTTTGTCGTGTGTGGGGTGGTCTCTGCCTGGCTCCTCATTCCCACGTGCTAGGGAGGGGGCTGCAGACTGAGCCCCAGGTGCTTCTGCCTGGTGTTTGGGGGGTGGTCCCAAATAACCCTGTTAGTCTTCAAGGTGCCACCGGCCTCCTCCTTGTTTTTGTGGATACAGACTAACAGGGCTACCCCCTGATATTTAGGGCAGGGGATACTGGGGGGGGGGGGGGGGGCGAGCTGGCCTGTGCCGGGGGAGGGGGGTGGATGGGTACATAGGGTTGTGGAGGGCAGGAGCTATGGGGGGGGACCTCCCCAGAGGGCGGGGGAGGGGCTGTCGGGGGGGCTATGGGGACCCCCCCCGAGGGGGGCGGGGCGGCTCCTCCGCGGACTTTCACTTTCGTTTCCGCGGCGGCCGCGCGGAGCCGGGAGCGGAGCCCGCAGGTACCGGGCGCGGGGGGCGCGGGACGGGGCCGCGCTTGGCCCCCGCGGGAGTCCCCCCCCCATGGGCAGGGACCCCCCCGGGGGCACGCACAGCCCCGCCCCCAGCCATGCCCCATCTCTCCCCCCCCCCCACGGCCTGGGGCCGGGCGCTCGTGCTCAGTGGGGGGCAGGGAGTGGGGGGCGCGGTGGGCACCGTCCCCGGGGGGGGGGCCGGAACTTGGGGTGCTGCCCCCCCCCGCTCGGAGCACTAATAACCAACAGCAAACACAGGGTTTCCGCCCCCCCCCCGCCGGGCCTGTGCCCAAGCTGCGGCCCCCACCCCCCCGCGTCACGCAGGGCGGGGCCGGGCGCTTGGGGGGCGCGGATCTGGCCTGGGGGGGCTCCGGGGGCATCAGCCCTCGCTGGCTCCGGGCCACGCGCTGGGCTGGGCATTAGGGCTTGTGCTCACCCCGTGCCCCCTGCTCCGGGCAGGCCTGGGGGGCTGGGTCCTGCCCTTCGCCAGCCCCCCGCCAGCCCCCTGCCTCCAGCCCCCCTCGCTGCCAGGCCCTGGGGGGTCAGCCAAGGGGTCCGGCCTGGCCCGCAGCAGAGCCTGGCTCCCGGGCAGCACGGGGGGGACAAGGTACTGGGGCCGGGATCCTGCCCTCGGCCCCGTGGGGCTGGGGCCCCATGGGGTCCCTGGCTACCACTGCCCAATCAGGGGCCCGAGTCGGGCGCTCGCCCAGCTGGGCACGGCCGCGGCGGGAGCTGGTGCCATTTCTCAACACTCCCGTTTCAGGGCAGCATTTTCCGTCTCTGCCGGTGTCAGGCTGGCAGCCCCCCGAGAGCGAGAGCAACGAGGCCAACCTGCGCCCCTGGGGGCTGCATTGTGAACACAGGCCCCCCCGCGCCCCTTGGGGCGTCCCTGCAGGGATGGGGCCGAGCCAGGCGCCCCTGGCCAGCCTCACAGGTTGCTGCAGCCGTCTCCTCCGGCCGCGCTGCTGCTGGGTTGTGGAGAGCCCCCCACGCCCAGCGAGGCAGCTGTGAGCTCCAGGGGGCCCTGCGGCTGCTACCTTTAGTGCTGAAAAATTCAACAGCTTGTTTAAATATTAAACCTTCCCCTTCTCGTTCTTGATCGAGGAGACGCCGCCTGGAGACGCCTGCTCAGACTGGGCCCGGGACACAGGAACCCGCGTCTGCAGGAGCAGTTGGTGACGTGGACACCTGAACCGCTGGGGGCAGGGGGGGACACCCTACCCCCATTTCCCACTGGGGCCTCAGGGACAGCGCCTGTATAAAACCATAGAGAGATCCTGGCTCCCGGTAACAGCTCAGTCCCCAAAAGCTCTGCGGCAAACCCCTGAGCAGGGCGCATTCTGTCTGGGCCTGGCCCAGCCTCGAGGCCAAGAGCAGCAGGGGCAAACACGGCTTTTCCTCAGGCGTGGGATCGCTCCTGGCGGAGGGCAGTAGAGGGGGAGAGCAGCAGAAACACAGGCTGATCCCTTTACCAGTTGGTGCATGGGGTGTTGGCCCAGCGGAGGCGTGTGGGGGTTGGCCTGCCCTGCACCCTGAATGGTGCTGTCCTTCCCGCCAGCAGAGGCTGTTGGAGCCTGGTGGCCCTGGCTCCCCCCTTGACACCTCTCAGTCTGCTCCTCCCAGCTTAATGAGAATTTGCAGAAACAGAGGGTCCCCCTCCCCGAGGCCTACTAAATATTTATAGGCTGTCCAGCTGCATCTTTGCATGTTCAGTGGAAGCTCATGAATAATCCAAGAGCTCAGCCCCTCTGCTTGCAGCTGAGCAGAGAAGAGGTACCCGAGCTCGGGTCACAGAGCTTGGAGCCCTTAGCAGAGACAGCATGGTCTTGCCCGCCGTGCCTTTCCAAAGAGCAACACTGATGTGTATTCATGAGGGCAGGGCACCGAGGCGGCATTATTCCTTTGGCCACAGAAAGCCGGGGCCCTGACGCCAAACGCGAGCCTCATGCAGCTGGGGAACGCGACGGTGCCCGTTAGTGCCTGCAGAGGTTGGCCATTCTATTGCTCGCTGCAAGAGAGAGTCAATGACACCCCTTTGCAAGGGGTTGGTGAAAGTTTGGCCACCCTGGCAGGAGCTTGGAAGCCAGAAAAAAACAGGCTGGAACCTTCAGGCTCCCTGGAGAAAAGAGCTGCTGAGATACAAATCCAACGGAGGCCTCAGTTTCCCTTGGGGCAAATGGGGCCTTGAGTGAGGAACATCTTTCTCCAGGCATGAGAGCTCCCCCATCTGACCCTCTGTCTGCAGGAAGTGCCTTGGGCAGAGGCTGGTGTGTTGCACAGGCTGGATGGAGACGCAAGGCCACACTCAGCTGTGCTCCAGTGACAGGAATCCAGTGTGGTTTCATGCGGGACAGTGGGTTCCTCCGGATTCCCACTGACTCGTCACACAGCCGAGCTGCGGCCTTGAAACCAGTGGGGTCTGCTCCCAGTGAGCGCCATGGGGTGAAGGGACGGGCTTCGCTCAAGGGATGCTAGGGCTGCCCGGTTTCCCCTGGATAACAACAGGCTTTGTTTGCAGATCCAAACGTGCTTTGCAAATACTCCTGAATTCAGCTGCACAAGCCTTTGTGCGGCAATCCCTTGTACAGGTGAAGAAACTGCATCACAGAGCGGACCTACCCCCAGTGAGGAGCATGGCATTAAATATTGCCTAGGCAGGGCACATACCCCAGAACAGAACCCAGGTCTCCTGCCTGCGAGCCCAGAGCCCTGGCTCCAGAGGGGAGGGGGCAGCATGCGAGCCCTGGTGGGGGGGCTGGGAGCTTTGCTCGTTGCCTCATATCTGCGCGCCTTCCCTGCAGGAGGGTCTGGCAGCATGGATGGGCGCACGGTGCGTGTGGGGGGGATCCCAACAGACATCCCGCCAGAGAGAGTCGCCGACAAGCTCACCATCCACTTCCTGCGGGCCCGCAACGGCGGTGGAGAGATCGCAGACATCACGCTCGTCGCTGGCTCCCCAGCCTGCGCCCTCGTCACCTTTGAGGAAGCGGGAGGTAATGCAGGGGGTGAGGCTGGGGTGCTTGGCAGGCTAAATTGTGTCCTGGGGCCACGGGGGCAGGCCAAGAAGCTCTGCACAGGGGCCTAGAGGCCAGGGCACCTCCTGGGGCATTGGGCCCTCATCCTGTTGGGTAACTGGTGGAATTCCCAGCCTCCTGCCCTTCCCCAGCCTCCAACAAGGGGATGCCCCAAGAATGCGGTGGGAGAGAGGGAGGAATAAAGATCCCGCTCTGGGCCTCGTCTGGCTGGGGAGCCCAGTGGCACAGCCTGGGCCAGGGCACAGCTGGCTGACCGGTGTCTATTGCTTTGCTCGGTTTAGTGGCTCAGAGGGTCCTGGAGATGGAGAACCACGTTTTGTTGGTCGGTGGAAAGACGTACCCGCTGACAGTGACAGCGCACGCGGCCGAGCTGAGCCCCGACGAGGTAACGAGCGGGATCAGGCGGGCAGGGCCGCAGCAGCCCCCGCCAGCTGTGTACACCCCTCCCCGAGCCCTGCCGCTGCCCGGAACAGATACGCAGAGAGGAGACTCTGCTCATCCTGTTAATCTTTAAATTAGAGTTAAAGCAAACTCGTTCTATTTGTATTCAAATGACGATTTAAAAGGGGTTTTGCTGATAATGCGCCTGAGGCAGGGCCCCGTTTTACACTTGGTCAGTCTGCATTTGTACCTGTCCAAGCGCAGAGGGAATAGCACTGGGGCAGGGCGAGGGGATGCGCGGGTGGCGGGGGTCATTAAGCCCAGCTGTCTGCTCCCGCATGGCCAGGCAAGGGCTTCTGTTCACTTCTCTGCCATTTCATGAGCCAGGAAAGCAGGCGATTTCCCTCGGGGGGAGGGCAGTCAGGGGAAGGGCTGGTGTCAGAGACCTTGAGGAAGTTCTGCCCTTCCTCGGCTGTCAGGGAGCTGGCGCCGTGGCCAGCTGCCGGCTCTGGGCGTTGGTGTCACAGAAGCTCAGCGGGGTCTGTGACATCACAGTCATCTCCCTGGCAACGGCGTGTGATGTCAGAGACAGGCAGCCTGGGGCCTGCTGGGGACACTGCAGCCAGAGCAGAGGGAGTGGGAAGCGGCTGGAGCCTGGCTCCACGCGCAGGGGCCTGAGAGTTATAGAAGTGGGGAGGCCTGGCCCCTTTGCAGAGCTCTCTGCGCACATGGGAGATGCTGTAGCTGTGGTAAACTCGCACTCGGCTCCACTCCCTGCTCGCCGAGCCCTTTGTGCCGCGCGTGGAGGGGAGAGTTCTGCCCCAGGCTGCTGGCTCTCTGTCAGCCCTGGCCGCACGGCCCTCCAGCGACGGTGCCCGGCCGAGCTCAGCCTGCATGGGGAAGGCAGCCCTCTGCCTGTGTCCGTGCACTCCTGCCTGGGCACGCCCTCTCCATCGCCACGGGCAGCGATTGCAGCACGAAGCTACGTGAGGTTTGTTTGCCTGCCCTTGAGGAGAGCAAACACAGAGTGAAAGGGAAGGTGGGGGCACTTGGCGCTTGGCCTTGAAGTGACCCTGGGAGCCGTGGTGAGATAATGTGTCCTGATGATGCCGGGGTGGTGGAGTGGGGCCGGTCAGGGGGTCGTCTCCCTCCTGCAGCGGGGCTGTTTGCCATCAGTCGCTGTCCTCTGACTCCTCTGGTCCTGTCCCCCCAGATCTTCGTGCGCGTTTGTATGATCATCGACTACGGGAGGCTCCTGGACGGCAAAACCCTCCTGAGAAGCCTGCGCAGACGTTACGGTGCCGTGCAGTTCAGCTTCGACCCTAAGGAGACGCTGTGCACTGTCAAGGGGCCGTTCACGGAGCTGCAGGCCTTCAGCAGGGAGCTGCTAAGGAGCCAGCACGCTGGAGAGGGCCCCCCGGAGGGAGTCAGCCACCCAGTCACAGGGACGGCCGCTTCGCAGCAGGGGCCCCGCTCCCCTTTGCCAGAGCCCAGGGTGGAGAAGCAGCCAAGTCCGGGCCAAGTGCACGAGGAGGTGTCTGAGCCCCCGTTGCACAGGGACCCCGTGGACGGAGAAGCTGTGGAGCAGCTGGAGGACTTCTCCTTGGTGATGGACGCGGATATCTACCTGTACATGCAGAAATTCTGCAGCGACAAGTACCAGCGGGTGCTGCACCAGCACCAGGTCGACGTGGTGGACGTCAGCAGTGACGGCATCGCTGTTCTCTACCTCCAGGCCTCCTCGAAGAACATGGGGAACATCAGCTCCATGGTGCAAGCCCGCCTGGCGCTGCTGGGCCTCTATCAGCAGCTGGAAGCCAGTCTGCGCAAGGAGAAGATCAGCAAGGGGGAGCTGAGCAGTGACATGAGGTCTCAGAGGGCCCTGCTAGGGGACCTGCAGAAGCTGTGCCCCCTGCTTTTTTGTCACGAAGATGAGCGGCATCTCTATCTCATCGGGAATCTGGTCGATGTCTCCCAGGCCAAACAATACATCCAAGATCGAACCACCGGGAGAAGAGCCACAGCCGGCCTCAGGATGCCCAACACCTCCCTGGCCACCTACACAGCCGCCCTTCATGGAGGGGATGCCAGACTGGGCAAGCCCGAACCCCCGGTGGATCCTTCACCCCCAAGACTTAGCCCTGGCAAGTTTGAGTCTAAAGGTGAACACAAGCTAGCCGCCAACTTCAGCTTCCTAAAGCACGACACGCCTGTTTCCAGTGCATGGCCCTCGCTGGATCGCAGCTCCCCGTTCATAGATCAGATGGAGCTTTCTGGCAGCTGGTTAAAGGAAGCTGGCGCCCTGAGCCAGAGCGATCCAGCACCACCAAGTGGTCAGCACCACCTGCCCGTCTCTGCGCCTGTCACTGGGCCAGCGGCAGAGGGTCAGCAGAGGGAGCTGAAGGATTGGGACCAAAGGAAGGGGGCCCCCCTGCTCTTGAGACCCAAGACGCTGTCTCTGTTGGCTGGAGGCAAAGAAAGCAGCACTTTGCAGAGTCTTGGGGGCTGGAAAAGCCCCGTTCCCGTAAAGCCTCAGTCCATTAGTAACGTGTCTAGCGCCTTCAAATCTTTGAGCCTTTTCGATACCACGGGGACCTGTTCAGCACTGGATTCGAAACCACCCGAGTCTAGCGCCCCTCTGAGACGCTCCAACAGTTTCTCCATTCCGAAGTCGAAGGCAAGCGACACACCCAGAGACCCCAGCAGGGCAGCCAGCAGGGCCCACGGGGTCAGCGAGGAGATCACCATGGATCCTGTGCAGTGGGCTTATCTGAAAGACATTCACGGCTCTGCTATTGACGGGCTGTGCAGGGAGGGAGGCGTCCTGCTCGCAGAGCGCAGCGACAAAGACTGCACCGTGCTGACGCTCACAGCTGAGGACAGGACAAAGCTCCTCCAAGCCAGGTGGAAGATGGAGGCTCTGTGCCAGACGGTGTGTCCTGCTCTCGTATGCCAGAGTCTGAGCTACTCCGAACTTGATGTGGAGGGACCCAGCGACGAGGCCCTGAATGAGCTGTGCAGCCTCTTGAAAGGATGCTCTGCCCAGGTCAGAGTCAGCAAAGACAGGTACAAACTGCATCTCACGTGCCCCAAGGAAGCGCTGCGGAGAGTCAATGAGGCGTTCCAGAGATTCTCTGCCAGGAGGCGAAGTGCTCTGACGCTTTCTTCCCCGTCTCGGGGGCTGGCGGGATCTCTGTCCGAGGAATATCCAAGCCCCACGCACCAGGTGAAAACCCAGGACCCAGCGCTGGCTGCAGAATATCCCCATAGCCGGGAGGGACTGCAGCCGCTGGAGGTTAGCAGCACAACCGTCCTGTCTGACATTTCGGAGAGCGCCCCCCAGCTGAATGGTGCTGACACAGTGAGACTGTACGGTCCCGGGTGGAACGCCACGAAAACCAGTAGCTACCGGCAGGCAGTGGGGCAAGAGGACCCAAGTTATCACAGCGACTCACAGGACGTGCAGGGAGGCAGTGGCCTCCTTGATGCCAGCTTGGCAGACAGACAGAGCCTCAGCCCAAGGGACCCCCAGGAGCTGCAGAAGGGGGAGAGGCCAGCTGGAGAGCCCGAGGCAGCCAGGATAAAGCGGGTCCTGCCTGACAGATTCCAGTTCGCAAGAGACAAGAGCCGAGGAGGCCCCAGTGAGGCAGGGGGAAGCCCGAGACCCCCTGCTCATGCAGCAGATGGTGCCCCACAGTCCTTGCCCATCTGGCTCTCTAGCTCTGTGACTGCACTGCAGGCCAGGCCTGCAGCAGAGCGAGCCCCCAAGCCAGGCCAAGGGGACCCTGTGAGCCAGGAAGGCCACTTGCCCCCAGCAGGAGATGGGGACTCACAGGAGACTGGGATTTCAGAGCTGGAGCTAAGAGGGCCCAGCCCTGGGCAGGAAGCCCATGAGCACAAGCTTGGGAAGTGTGATGCGTGCCAGACCTCACGCACAGCGACCTGCCGCGCCCAGTGCGGCCACTCCCTGTGCCGGACTTGTTTTGCAGCAGAAGACACGCACCCAGCCTGCTGCAGCTCCCCCAAGAGCACGAGGGCTATTAAAGGGGCATTCAAGGTCGTGACCTTGTCCCAGAGCCTGCCTGGCCACTTTCGAGACCCAACGCTCAAGATCATCTATGACATCCCTGACGGTGTGCAGGAGGTAGGTAGCCAGGCCACACAAAGAGTCTGCCACCAGGGCCTTCCCAACCCCCTAATTATGGGACTTGGGGTAATGCCTAGGCATCCCGGTCAGCGGCCCGGGCCCTGTTGTGCTGGGCACGGCCCACACAGAACAGAGTCCCTGCCCCAAAGAGCGCACAAGAAAAGAGGCGGGTGGATAACACAGGCAGAAGGGGAGCACGGATGCCAGCTGGGGGTGAGCAGTCGTCAAAGCACACCCATAAAGAACAGAATTATGACACAGATGAACAAAATTTGTTGAGGAAGCATCAACATGGCGTTTGAAAAGGGACATCATGCCTCACCAATCTATTAGAATTCTCTGAGGGGTCAACAAGCTTGTGGACAAGGGGGATCCAGGGGATATAGTGTATATGGACTTTCAGAAAGCTTTTCACAAGGGCCCTCAGCAAAGGCTCTTAAGCAATGTAAGAAGTCATGGGAGAAGATGGAAGGTTCTCTCATGGATCAGTAACTGGTTAAAAGACAGGAAACAAAGGGGAGGAACAAATGATCAGTTTTCACAGTGGAAAGTGGTAAATAGTGGGGTCACCCAAGGATCTGTACTGGGAGCAGGGCTGGTCAACATATTCATAAATGAGCTGGAAAAGGGAGTAAACAGGAAGGTGCCAAAGTTTGCAGACGATATAAAATTACTCAAGATAGTTAAGTTCAAAGCTGCCTGCCAAGAGTTACAAAGGGATCTCACTAAACTGGGTGACTGGGCAACGAACTGGCAGATGAAATTCAGTGTTGGTAAGTGCAAAGTAATGCACATTGGAAAACATCATCCCAACTATACATACAAAATGATGGGGTCTAAATTTGCTGTTACCACTAAGAAAGAGATCTTAGAGTCATCATAGATAATAAGTCCTTGAGAACATCTGCTCAGTGTGCAGCGGCAGTCAAAAAAGCAAACAGCGTGTTGGGAGCCGTAAGGAAAGGGATAGATAATAAGACAGTAAATATCATAATGCCTCTATATAAATCCATGGAATGCCCACATCTTGAGTACTGCATGTAGATCTGGTTGCCAAATCTCTAAACAGATAGGTTAGAATTGGAAAAGGCACAGAGAAGGGAAACAAAAATGATTAAGTCTGTGGAACAGCTTCCATACGAGGAGAGATTAAACAGACTAATACTGTTCAGCTTGGAAAAGAGACGACTCGGGGGAATACGATAGAGAGCTATAAAATCATGACGGGGGCGGAGAGAGTGACTAAGGAAGTGTTATTTTCCCCTTCACATAACACAAGAACCAGGGGTCACCCAATAAACTTACTAGGCAATGGGTTTAAAACAAACATAAGGAAGTACCTTCCTTACACAACACACAGTCAACCCGTGGAACTCGTTGTCAGGGGATGTTGTGAAGGCCAAAACTATGACTGGGTTCAAAAAAGCATGGATAAGTTCAGTGAGGACAGGTCCATCAATAGCTATTAGCCAAGATGGGCAGGGACGCAACGCCATGCTCTGGGTGTCCCGAACCCTCTCACTGCCAGGAGCCGGGACTGGGTGACGGGATGTATTGCTCAACGATTGCCCTGCTCTGTTCATTCCCTCTGGGGCACCTGGCACGGTCGGGGACAGGGATACTGGGCTAGATGGACCTAGATGGTCTGACCCAGTCTGGCTGTCCTGAGGTTGTCGCGCTTGTTGCGGGCACAGCAGCAGAGGGGAGTTGAATGAGGCAGATACACCGTTCATCTCTGGCTGAAGGGGGCTCTGGCTTCCTGCAGGTGCCAGGCCTGCCTGCCCGGTCCCTGGCAGTGGCTTTTCCCCAGCCACTCACCTTCATTTATTTATTATTTTAAGCCCAAGCCCAAGCCAGCGGTGAGAGTTACCAGCAGTAGGTGGAACAGCCTTTTCCCACGTTCCCTTCCAACCCAGCAATAGCCCGGAGCAGTTTCCTCCCCCATTTCACCCCAGGGCTGAGGCACTGCAGAGAGAAGCGACCAAGAAGGAAACCCCAGCAGAGTCGGGTTTTTGTGTAGAAGTGCTGAGCAGGGGGATTGGGAGCGTGGTAGGAAACACCACGAACAGCTCCCACTAGCAGCCCCCTCTGGGTGCCAGCTTCCTGCTAACTAGCCAGCGCACCGGCTGCAGCAGCATTCCCGGCTCGCTCCTTGGGCAGGGCAGGGGCTGGGTCCCACAAACCAACCCTGCCTTCACGGCCCAGGGAGTGTTACCACAGCAGGCGACGAAACCCGCCTCGCCTCCCACCGGGCAAACCCGAGAGCTCCGGGCTAATTTTACAACTTTCTTCCTTCTCCCCTCCCCCACACCGCCATTTGAAGGCTGGAGACCCCCGACCCGGGAGACCGTACAGGGGTGGCCGCTTCCAGGCCTTCCTGCCCGACAACAGGGAGGGGAAGAAGACATCTCAGCTGCTGCAGAAAGCATTTGAGCAGGGCCTGACCTTCCGGATCCAATCCTGTGAGGACGAGGAGGAGAGAGTGACGTGGCACCTCATTCCCCACAAAACCTCCTTCGACAAGGGCAAGGCCAGGTAGGGAACGGTGCCGGTGGTGTTTGAACGGGGCTGGGGGCCCAGGCTGCCTGTGGCCTGTTAGCTCTTGGCCTAGGAGGGAGAGGAAGGCGGCCCGGGCCTAGACGTCTGGGTGCTGTGCTGAATCCACGCTTGGCATGCAGGACCTGCCAGAGCCCAAGAGCCCAGTGCTGCAGCCAGCCTTGGAGCAAACCCACCGGTGGTGCAACACAGCACCAGGCCCAGGAATTGTCCGAGCCCCCCAGCTGCTTCCCTGCCCTGGCTTGGGAGGGCAGAGCCCCTCTCGTACCCTGGCGTGTGGGGCTGCAGCAGCCGCTTTGTCAGATAAGAAATGAATGAGCAAGAGCAGCATCCAAACGCCATTTTAAATGTTTCATGCTACTCCATCCCTGCCGGCCGTTTTCCATCTCTGTAAGGCAGGACCCAGTGAGACCCCAGCGAAGAGCAATTCCTGCCCCAGACCTAGGCCGCCTCTTGCTCTGGGGCTGGGAGCGTGGGGTAGCCAAGCTCTGAGAGGTTCCCTGGGTGGCTGGGGCCACTGGCTCCCTCCCCATCAGGGAAATAGGGAGTGTGGGAGAATAGGGAAAGATGCCCCCCACTTCCTGCGGTCGTTGGGAGGGGTAGGTGTGTTTGGAACATGCTCGGAGCGTTACCCGCGGGGCCACAGCCTCACGCCTCTTCCTCTCCCCTGGTAGGAATGGCTACCCAGATTCCCAGTACCTCCGCGAGGTCTGCGCTCTGCTGAGAAACTTGGGCATCGAGTGAAATTCCCAGCGCTGAGCTGCCAAAAGCCACCCCCTCTCTGCCGTCCTCCAGCCCCAGTCAGGCTCAGCCCAGCTGGCACAAGCCACGTTCAGTTCTGAGCTGCTCAGGACAGTGCTGGTTTTTCGCTGCTTGGGCTTCATCTCCACCTCCCTTTGCTAGCCAGGAATTCCTGTGCCAAGTGTAAGTGAAAACCGAGCTGTCCAGCGGCAGCGTCTCACCAGCACCCACCCTCGCTCCAGCTGAAGGGAAGTAAAACCTGCTGGCAGCTCCAGCTCCCATTGGATTTAGCTTGTTAACCAGCCGCCAGCAACAGCTTGTTTCGGCATCAGTGAACGACCAGCATTACAGGCTGAGCCATTACCAGCTTCCAGCCCGATGCTAATCTCCAATGGAGGCCCGTGTCTGGCTGCAGGAAAGGTCACCCTGGGACATCCCAGTTCTGCCTTCGGGAGGCTGGGAGCTGCTCGTCTTTGTAGTGTTCAGTGCTTCTGGAATGGCACTTTCCCCTTTGGCTAATGAAGCCAAAACACAGGGGGTCCCGCCTACCAGCATCCTGGGCAGTGCGGAACTACACTTGATCTCAGTTAGCCTGGGCATTTCATTCCTTGGACAGACAGTCCGGAGCTCCCGTCCCATCCCTAGGCCTCTAGCCCTGTGGGACCGTGGCCCAAACCTGCAGTGTTCAAGGCAGCACAACGTTGCACATTCCCTGTTACTTTGCATTCCGTGTAGTTGGGTGGAGAATTCCAAATAAACGAGTCTCAGTCCCCACCCTGTTCAGTAGTGCTTGGTCGTGTCTCAGGCTGGGAGCCTCAAAATGCCCCCCATTTTGGTCACAGGCAGGGCTAGCAACAACTGGCTACAGGCCGCCCAGCAGCGGCTGCTGCTTCCAGAACAGAAGGGCCATTGCAGGTTGAAGTGTCTGCAGCCCCTGTGCAGAGACTGGGCTTTCTCGAGTAGCATTTTATGAGAATGTGATGGTGCATTTAAGGCTCCAAATGAACACTTGGTGCGGATGCCAGAGGGGGCAGGGCTGACCTGAAACCTTAGAAAGCAGCTGAGATCCTGGGTACATTTCACAGCAGATGTTCAGTGCTGCTGCTCAAAAGCCATGTGCAAAATCTGCTTCCTACAATCGCAGCGCTAGGAGTGCACCCGTGGCCAGAGCTTGGGGTGAAGGTCTCCTTTTACCCACAGCACCAGCTCCCCCCAGCCCTGGCCAACAAGCCTCCCCTCTGAAGTGGAGAGGCTGTCATTGGGCCAAGAGGGGACTTCACACTCCATTCAGTTCTTGAGCCTGCTGGGAAAGCGACAAGCGTGATTGGGCCTGAGCACAACAGCCCTATAACCTAGCCCCAGAAGTTGTGTCAGAGAACGGCTCTCTGCCGCTGCAGCGGGGTGGCAGCTTGGAGGGGAGACAGCCTGTCACATCGGAGACAAGCACCCTCGTTTTCGCTCGCTTGTGTGTTACAGCGCTGCGATGAAGCTTGGACCAATATTTAAGAGCTCTAAGGTGAAGAGTTGGGGGTGAAAAACATCCTTAAGAATATTTAGTCAGGCACCAAGATCTTCTTCAGCCGGCTCTATGGGCTCAGGCTCCTCTTTCAGACCCAGCACATTCTTCCAGAGGGGAGATGCCTGCCTTATACTCAGCCCCACAAAAGGGAAGGGGGAGGGTGGGCTTGAAAGTCTGGGGGTAGAGGCTCAAGCCTGCCTAGAGCATGTTTCCGGGGCTGCTTAGCATTCGTGCCAGCAGAGAAGCAGTCCAGTAGTTCTACGTGTGTTCTCTAACATCGGTTTATGCTCCCCCGATAAGTTTCTATTAACAAGGGGTGACAATTGTACCCATCCAGGTTCTGCTGTGCGGGTCACTGCAGGACTTGACAAGAGCTTGCCCGGCTCATGTTGCCTGGTTATCCCATTCACCTTTCAGCTAGCCGCTCTGTTGCTAAATCCACTAACGCCCATTGCAAGCATGAGCCAATGGCTATCTGAAACCCGTAGGGTAGGTCTTGAATCTTCCCACCTTGGCTCCCATCCCAGAGTTACTGATCCAAATTGACATTATCTCCCATGTTTAAGAAAGATTAATCCAAACTGGAACAGGTATAGAGAAGGGCTACAAGGATGATCCAAGGAATGGGAAACTTGTCTTATGAAAGGAGACTCAAGGAGCTTGGCTTGTTTAGCTTGACCAAAAGAAGGCTGAGAGGAGATAGGATTGCTCTCTATAAATATATCAGAGGGATACCAGGGAGGGAGAAGAATTATTTAAGCTCAGTACCAATGTGGACACAAGAACAAATGGATATAAAATGGCCATCAGGAAGTTTAGACTTGAAATTAGACGAAGGTTTCTAACCATCTGAGGAGTGAAGTTCTGGAACAGCCTTCCAAGAGAAGCAGTGGGGGCAAAAGACCTATCTGGCTTCAAGATTAAGCTTGACAAGTTTATGGAGGAGATGGTATGATGGGATAACATGATTTTGGAAATTAATTGATCTTGGACTATTAGGGGTAAATAGGCCCAATGGCCTGTGATGGGATGTTAGATGGGGTGGGATCTGAGTTACTACAGAGAATTCTTTCCTGGGTGTCTGGCTGGTGAGTCTTGCCCACATGCTTAGGGTTCAGCTGATCGCCATATTTGGGGTCAGGAAGGAATTTTCCTCCAGGGCAGATTGGCAGAGGCCCTGGGGGTTTTTCGCCTTCCTCTGCAGGGTGGGGCACGGGTCACTTGCTGGAGGATTCTCTGCACCTTGAAGTCTTTAAACCATGATTTGAGGACTTCAGTAGCTCAGACATAGGTGAGGGCTTTGTTACAGGAGTGGGTGGGTGAGATTCTGTGGCCTGCGTTGTGCAGGAGGTCAGGCTAGACGATCAGAATGGTCCGTTCTGACCTTAAAGTCTACGATTCTGTGACAGACTGGGGAGCATTTATTGCTCCCAGATTTCTTCGGTCACACGAACGAGCGTGAGATGGACGGGACAGGGGCCTGCCCGGGTCTGACAAAGGGAACTACAGATAGATTGCTGGGCCGCTGACAAACCCTTGGACTTTTGCTTTATGCTTAACCCCAGTATTGTCACAAGCAGAGAAACATGCCAGCAAGGATTTTGTTATGCTTTTAATTAACATTTGAAACACGTAAGGCATACGGTAACGTTAGGCAGAAGAGCATTACACGTTGTAGTCATGTAAACAGCATTGGCACAATCGCTTTCTGTTCAACTTGGTTACACGCACAAAGCGGAATATAATTATTTTTAAAGGCGCCGTGCTGTAGGACAACAGCCCCTCGTATCTCATCTCCGCAAATCAGCTGGACGGCACAGACACTGCCATGTGTCGTAAGAGGCTCCAAGAGCAACGCATTCTCACACCGTGCTCATACGCTACCTGCCCGTCACCCTCTGCCATCACCAGCGCTTGGGGCATCCAAGACTTCATTTGGCAACAGGAGTGGTCTTATACCTCTGACAGCAGCTGCAGATGGGTCAGATTCCTGCATTGGTTGAAGTCTGATGCCCACAACTCTACTTCACACAGCTGGTTTGTAACTAAACATGCAGCTAAACTCCTTTCCCTGGTGTCTGTAGGACCTTTCCCCATCTCTCAAATACAGTCTTGATGTAGCTACGGTTCTCAACAGGGCTTATGTTTGTGCAAGCTGAGCTCCACTCCCATCTCCCAGGTGCAAGAAACATTTGTAACTTTAATAAATTTCTTATTGAACTAAACAAGCTTTTTAGTTCTAAAGCCGCCTGAGGATGGCAAAGTACGTAAAGTTGTGTTTAAGGGCCCCTTCCTGGACTGGCAGTTTTGGTAACAGATACAGCAATGATGGTTAGGTCACACTTAGACAGATACCACTGGATTTCACAATCTACACATACATACCAAAGGCAGAAGACCCTGCAAACTGGAGCAGGAGAGAGTGCAGGGAACACAGAAACCTTTAGCTAGTGCTCATAGCATCACGACACAAACTTTTGCCCTTCAGCCATTTTGCACCCATGGCACAAGATTTGAGTCAAAATGATCAATTAGCAAAATGAACATTAAGCTGCACTTCAGTTATTTTGGAACGATGCACAATTTAAGAGGCAACGTGGCACTCTTTGTTCCCTGGATGACACCAGCTGTGCCCTCAACTGTTCAGCATGCTTCCTTCTAATCAGACATCTTCTGGAGTGGAATGGCATTGTGCTTTGGTCCTTGCTAAAACAACTCACTGTTTAACAAGTTGTTTGAGACACTGGTAATAAAGTTGTATTAAGTCTGACAATCAGTAGGTTTAATACTTACTGGGCCCTAAAACGCCAGGGTAAATAAAGGCTACTATAAAATCTAGAACAGAGCATTAGTCAGTGAGGCAGTAAAGCGCAAGGTTACACTTAATCTTCCGTAGAAAACGTAGCTACTGGGGTGCAGAGTCAATGCTAATCTCTTATCACGACTACCTAATTGCTCAGAAGGATTCAGAAGTCAGACTGAAAAGGGCATGAGAAGTTTATAGGTAGAAAATTCACCATCAGCTACACATTGCAAACAAAGAGAAAAGAAATTCCAGAGAGTCTCCGCAATGGCGACAAACCCTCAACGTCCTCAGCCTCAGGAGAGGCCACAACCAGCAAAGCTTTGCAAGAGGACAGGCCTAGAGATACTGACGCGCACGGGCAGGCTGACATCACCTTTGGCCACATCCAAATGCAGCCAACTTGGGTGAGGCATTGCCTTACGGCAGGCACTGCTGCTTAGGCTCTGGAGCAGGAGCTTCCAGGGATCAGCCTGGAGAGTCCATAAAACGCACGTGTACGAAGAGTATATCAAGGCGGAGGGTAAGCAGAGCTAGGTCACTTGTGTACCACAAGCCATATCTATTATGCAGCACACTAGTTTTTTGGCAGTATTTTAAGAGGCCAGTATGGCAAAGGCTTCAGTGACTTGCTAGTCTTACAAGTGGTCTAGAAAAGGCACTGAGATACTGTTTTCTATGCAATGCAGCATACGTCAGAGTTGTCCTACAGGAAGATACAAGATATTCCCATTTGCTTCCTTCACGCTGTATCAAAAGGGGGACTAGACTACAAAAGCCTTGCGATAGTGCCCAGGATAGGGCCAGAGTAAGGCACCAGGTGCTCTCAGCTGGCAGAGTAGAGCCAAGGGAAGTAGGAAAGTGGGATCATTTTCCCCCTTTCAAAGACTCTAGAGAACCTGAAGCTTTGCGGTGCAGTTAGTCCAGACTCCTCCTGTCTCAAGGTGAAGCCAAGATTTGGACAAGAGTAGGTCTTGGGCTTTTCCTTTTATAGCAAACAAGTGTCTGAACTGTTTTTACAAATCTGCAGTGAAATGGCACAAAACAATGGAAAGTAAAATCTAATTCACTGGGCAGGAGCGGTTCTGAGAGGGGAAAAACCCAGCGAGGAGAGTTTGTATTTAGAAAAGGTTAGAAAAAAGTTGTGCGTGTGAGTTCTGCTGCATCACATCAGGGGAGTCAACCCCCGTGTCACGAATGGAAGGAACGAAGACAGAAGAGGGTCTGAACCCAATCGTGGTTCCCTTTCTGAAGTCCTAAATGTTGGGCACCATTTTTTACCTGAAGTGAATCCTCCAGATTCCAGGCCTCATGCAGCCCAGCAGGGTCAGAGAGCTAGGAACTGAAACCCAGGCTGCACTGATGAGATAACGCAGCTGCCCCACTGTAGCGCACCCGTGAAGAAGCTGCCTGCGCCAAGAGGAAGGCTTGTCCTGTCGGCGTACGTACCGCGCCCCCCGAGGAGGCGGTGGCCGTGTCGCTGGGAGCAGCGTTGTCTACTCTGGGAGCTAGGTCGATAAAACCGCATGGCTGAGCGAAGCACCACTTACGCCTCCTGGGGCGGCTGCAGCTAATAGAGACCGTCGCCTTCCTTTTCCTTGCACAATACAGTCCTCGTGCTGATGCTGGGCCAGGTTTTCTTTAATGGGGGGAGGGACCCAGGAGATCCATGTTTGCTCTTAAGAGCAGCATTTTGCTTCTGCTATGGCACCTTTACGAAAAGGGGGTAGGTGGGGGCTTGGTCCCTTCAGTTACCAAATCCAAAATACAAGCAAAGCCTGAGCTACTGCGCCATCCGCCACCCAGCAGGGCCAAACCTGACAAGCGCCAAGTCCTGGGACTGCAGCAGGAGACCGAGCACCACTGGAAGGGGCGGCGCCAGTCAGGACATTAAACAAGGACAAGTTTAGATGCTCACAGACTGAACCGTTCAGGTTCCCACCCACAGCTTTACCTGCACGCCTGGCATGGGCAAGCCCAGTTTTCTTCCTAGAGAGAGGAGCCCACTGGGCAGTTCCCAGCATCTCAGCAGCACTAGGAAGTACCCTGAAAACACTGGCACTTCATGATTCGAGCAGACAAGCTGCAAGCCCCCTTTCGGCGCTAGCTAGCCAGCCATAGGGACGGGCAGAGGCCATGGGGACAGCCTGGGACTAGGGGAGAATCTGAAAAGCCAATTAAAACTGGAATGGAAAGTGAAAAACAAAAGCCAGGATCTAACCAGGCGAGAGCCTCACGCCAGCGGGTTCGACAGGTCTAAGCCCAGACAGCGTGTGACTCACTCAGAACCACAGGCTGGCCCAGGGGGAGGATGCCAGCGCAGACTTTACTGGGCCTGCTCACTTCTAGAGCTGCAGCATCCCCCTCCTAGCACACACAACCGCAGAAGCAAAGGCCGACCATGAGGCTTGTTTTGTCCCAGTCTTGCAGACACCTTTTCACATTGCAGCCCTTGGTAACAAACACGAGGGTGAAGTTTAGCCTGACGGACATTCAGAGCCCAACGTTAACAAAGCACATAGAGCCAACACAAATGGGTCAGTCATTTCGGAGACACAGCTGAGTTCTTTCAGTCTCCAGACCCAGCCTTGACCACAGAATTGGTTTAGACTTTCCCTAACGGTTTGGGAGCAGAAAATGGACGAGAGCAAATTGTTGAATTGAAATTTCTCTTTAGTATTCATATAGCACCAGCCTAACTCCTCCTCAGGATACATGCAGCGTGAACAGAGAAGGAACAGCAAATTAAAAAGCTACAGCGTGACCAGCATGTAAGATACTAAGCTGGGCTTAGAAAAACTGGCCTTTTGCCAGCTGATTGGCATTAAAGGCCTAGGACTGGGGGTGTGGGGAAGAGGAGGGGAGGAGGAAGGGAAGTGTTGTGACAGCAGGAATAATGGCAAAGAAATAACCAGCACTAGAACAACGTAAGGTCTGATGTTTTTTTCCTACAGCAATTTCATTGACAAGCATCTCTGGCTTGGCACATTCGTCTGTCGAACGTGCATCTTAAGACTGCAAAAAGGGCTCGGTTTCTATGGAGACAGTCAATGGTTGCCATAACAATTTGCGTTTACACTTTGCAGCAACATACTACGCAGCCATTAGTCACTGACTGCTTGGAGGCCAGAGAGGCGTTGCCAGAGAAGAAGAACTTGGTTTGGAATTTGGGAAAGGAAATATAACAACCAGGTGAGAAAAGCAGGGCTAAGGCTGGAGGTGTCACATTCAATGTTACACAATCACACCTGGGAGAGGCTGGCTATGGCAGGTGCATATGATTCACAACCCAAGGTGCTCACAGTCCTAGAACTGGCTTTAAAAATTTATCATTCCCTTAATGGGGAAGATGGCAGGGACTGAGCCGTCCATTCCCAGGTCCCAAAAGGGTTAGGAGTTAAACCACAAATTCACAACCTGCAGACAGGTCTCCTTGCTTTAGTTTTCCTCTTTTTTGGGTTCTTCCTTCGGCAGTTCAGGAACTAGGATGACTTTCCCAACGTTCTTCTTCTCCTGCATCTGCCTCATGGCATCGGCCACCTAGAAAGAAAGAAGTCCCGTGAAAGGAGATCCACACCTGCCTCGCTGCACCACTCGGGCGACATGCCAGCCCAGGGGTGTCCACACAGTGACGTTTTCATCTACAGCATAACCACGGGTCAGCAACTGCTGGACATTCACACATCCCACACAACGGAGAAAGCTGGGTACTCCTGGGCAGCTATCCCACGCTGCCTCGACAGGGGAGAGCGCGCTCAGAGCACATGGGCCCAGGGCAGCGCACTCCAGGGCGTCCCACTGAACAGAGAGCCGGGAGGAAGGAGGAATATGTCCAACAGGTTACACTGGCACTGCTAGGGCTTCTTGCGACACAAACAAACTGTGCCAAAACAGCTACTGAGAGACAGCCTAGTGTCAGGAAGGGAGAAAAGCATGTAGCACTAGGCAAAGGCCGTACAGTACCATCAGTCTGGAATCAGTGGGGAGCTCTGCCTAAAAAGGTACAGCACATTCTAGCCCCCAGCGTTAGCCATGCTGCATCAGGGATGAGCCATGTCTGCAGATGACCGTGCCACTCAGTGGTCACCACCAGAGAGGAGAGCGGACAGGGCCATTGGCGCACCTTGCAGGGACATCTCATGCTAGCCACAAAGATCCTGCTGCTTTGAGCCCCAGCTGGAGTAACCGGCAGTGCTGCCGAGTCCAGCCGCCCTATGGTGAAGGCTCCCAGAACATCAGGCTTGGACCGTTCCATCTCTAGTCAGTTTGGAAGGCCCGGAAGAAGCAGTTTGCCTTCAGCTCCCTGGAAGGCGCTGTCCTCGTCACCATGCCAAGCAGACATGCTGATGAGACGCTGATGTTCGCCTGCGTCTCTCTGGGGCACCGCGCTCCCGCATGCACAGGCCACTGGGAGGTGCCAGATCAATGCAGGCAGAGCAGAAGCTGTTTGCTAGTAATGCAATCAGAGTCCCATTAGGAGCTGCTCTTTCCGGCAGGAGGAGATCAGCACAGTGATGCACTGGGACCACATGCCTCCTGCCAGAGTTAATTTAAACAGACTGCAGGGAACGGGAGGAAAGGGAGATCAGAACCAAGGGCAGGGGAGGCCGACATAAGAGGTTTTACCAGGTAACTAACTACCTGGTAAGCACCGGAGTGTCTCCCCGGCTCCGGAAGGGTTTCCCAGCTGCATCCCCCACACCTCACAGAACGGGACTCAAAGAAGGGCCCACTCCACGGCACTTCCCAACACAAAGCCGACAGCACGGTCTTAACATCTAGCAGGCACTTCCGTTTGGGCAAACATCTCCCTCACCTGCTGTCGAGTCAGGGCAGGCTTGGGAAGTCCCAGGACTGGGCAGGAAAATGCTCCTGGTGCATGTTCAGGGCCACCATGCTGGGTTCTAAATGGGGCGAACACCCCAGCCCTGCCTCCACTGTCTGTGGTGTCTCCATCCCCGTAGCTCTAGCTGAATGCTTCAGCGAGAGCATGGCACAGGCATGGGCCAGAAGCCAATCTGACACCAACGGCTACGAGCTAATGCACACGCTTTGCTAGCAGCAAAGGGGCTACAAACTACCATCGGAAAGAGAAATCTGCTCCTTCCTGCAGCGACATCCCTGCCAAACCCCTCTCTCCCCCACCCCTGGAGACTGGCTGCTCTAGCGTAGCAAGCGCCCTCCTGCCACGCCATGCTGGCCCTTCAGTGAGACTCCCTAGTGGAGAGACAGTTCCATCACTCTTCTTTAAGCCCTTTGCACCTCTGTATTTTGGGCCCAGGTTACTCCGAGACCCTTTACGGGAATCTCCCCCCATCTCTTTTGGCTTCTGCTGTCGAGACCTGAGAAGCAGCTATTCTTTCTGGGTGAAGGGGAACAAGTCACCCAGCTCTGCTCCTCACTGGAGAGGACTTCTGCCCCTGGCTGGGCCTGAAGGGCTAACACACTTCCATGCATTACTGTCCATTCACTGACAGCGGAGATGACTTGGGTGGCCTCTGCCCAACACCTATGAGGCAGCCTGGACAGTTAAGCTCAGAGAAGCAGAGACTTCCTGGGCCGCTCTGAGCTCGGGCAGCCTGACGTGCTTAGACTGAAATCAGAGCTATATCGGCAGGCTCCAGAAGCTGCTTGGTAGAGTCCAGCAAACTCCTGAGACTTAACCCCTGGCTCCCACGATTGCTACTGGCCAGCAGCTTTCGGGTAAGAAAGCCACTCCAGGCTGCCTGTCTTACAAATCAGCTCCCCAGTGGAGATTCTGGCCCACTCGGCAGGAGGGGCGCACAGCTCCCTCCAGCCCTGCTCTTGCCCCACACGGTGATGTTTGATCTCAAGGTCTGGAGCTGTAGAGGAGGGTTAAGCAATTCTAGTGTATGCCAGAAGCTGACAATCTCTGCAGAGAACAATGGGCAATACGATTAACAGAACCACCACTATCTCCAGAGAAAACACCATGTGACCGCAGCTTAGCCAGACAATCCCTTGCTCTGGGCAGACACAAGGAGCTCAGGGAGAGTCAGCAGTCAAGTGGTCATTTGACTACATTCCAGCCACCTTATGTATCTCCTTTGAAGACAGACTCGATTAAAGGACTTTTAACAGCACCACAGCACTCGCCCCAGGCTTGGAAAGGAGTCAGGGTTTTTTTAAATGTTGATTTCAGTTGCAGATAGATTTCCAGTTGGCAATTCTTCAACAAAAAAAAAAAAAAAACTTTCAAAAACAGACTCCAACATGAAACTGCAGAACTAGAATTAATTTGCAAACTGGACACCATCAAATTAGGCCTGAATAAAGACTGGGAGTGGTTGGGTCATTACAAAACCTAAACCTAATTTCCCCCATACTAATTTCCCCCTACTGTTACTCACACCTTCTTGTCAACTGTTTGAAATGGGCCACTCTCATTACCACTACAAAAGTTATTTTTCCTCCCTTGGTATCCTCCTGTTAATTGAATTGTCTCGTTAGACTGGCCTCACACTTGGCAAGGCAACTCACATCTTTTCATGTATTTATACCTGCTCCTGTATTTTCCACTCCATGCATCTGATGAAGTGGGTTCTAGCCCACGAAAGCTTATGCCCAAATAAATTTGTTAGTCTCTAAGGTGCCACAAGGACTCCTCGTTGTTTTTGCTGATACAGACTAACACGCTACCCCTCTAAAACCTGTTTAAAGTCTTTGGAGCTGTGTTGTGCCTGAAACCAAGACATGTTGTGGCAGGCACTGTGCCCACATCCCAGCTCATCTTCAAACCCAGAGTCCCATTCGTTATCAGTCCCGTGCACCTCACTCCCAGCTCTGCAGATGCCCCTGAATCCCGACCCACAGGACCCCTGCTATCCCGGTCCTGGTCTCTCGCTGTGAAGTGATAAAGATGTCAGCTCTTTTCTCAGAGCCCATTTCATCTGAAGTCATTGTTTAACTCTGGACTAGGTCACAAATGGTGACAGGAAACCAGTGCAGTAATTCTCTGCCATCCTCCAGCCAGGCATTGTTTTCTGATCCTCAACTCTTTTAGGGCCCTTTAGAATACTTGGTTTGGGAATTTTTTCATCACACTGTTAAAGACCATTCTGCAGAGCCATCATCGCAAACTATCGCTGTGCTATGTGACTGAGCGGAGCAGGGCAGGGTCTGTGTCAGGAGAATTCTCTCGTTAGCAACGCTGGTTTGAATCCACCTATTACAACATGCGGGGTTTAGCAGAAAGATCTAGTTTTGTAAGAGCTCCCCCAGCCCCAGAGACAGCTCAGGGTGGAGAGCCCAGAGTCTACAGCAGAATTTGACTGGACGTAAGGATGCACCAAATGCAGAAATGTGTAACAGCCGTTTAGGAAGCCGCAGTCTCACTTTGCAGCATCTCCACTTTGTTCTGCTGCCTCAGTTTCCAATCAGCAGAAAAATCTGAGGGTAAAGCAACAAAATGACCCACCCACCCACATACAGTTTCCTCTGTAATTACTGAGCAGAGATTCAATGCAGTCTCTAGTATGACACGCACAGCACACGCCCCACATGCAGTGTGCAGCGCTGCTGTTTGTAATTAATCAATGTAACTCAGCCCTTTAGCCCTTTCTCCGTCCACAGCTTGGGAACGCCTCAAAACCTCAGTCTAAAAGGCATTTAAAACAAGAAGAAAGTGACTTAATTCTCCTGCTCTTTGTATGTTCAGTGTTCCCCTTCCCGCCCCCCCGGAAACGAGCGGGTCAGGTACCCGCCCCTCTCTGCAGAGAGGACACAGGGGCTCCCAGCAAAGCTTTGCTGGAGAAGTGGAGGGAGTGTAGGCGAGGGAGAGCTCAGGAATTTACGCAAGTAACAGCCCACGGGAACTGCTGGCCTCGGACGTGAGAACACCTTCCACCGAGGTGCACCTGGGACCCAGGCTGGGCCTCCGAGTGCAGAGGCTGCACCCGCAGCGCGCAGCCAGGGACTCGGGTAGGTCCACCGCCGGCTCCAGCACTCCCCACGCCAAGGATGAGAGCATCCAATACACCCACAACTCCCAACGGCAAGCACAAGCCTGGCCACACTCCTCCCATGGCCACTCCCAACTCCCCCTTTGCTTTCTGCAGGGCAGCCTGTGCTTTGGGGACAACACTCCCACGGCTGGGAACACGGCTCCTCCTCTACGTGGGCTGGCTGCTTAAGCAGAGAGTTCCCAGGGCACACTGAGCAGCCCTAGGCACAGACAGAGAGTTACTCTGCTAAGGGGAAGAGAACAAGCACGGATGTCTCCCACTCAGAGCGAGGAATCTGCAGGACACAATAAGAACACATACTCAGCAGGATACGCCCCCTTCTCCCCACCCTCCCCGCAGGGAGAAACCGCAGCCCGTGCCAACCCAAACCCAGTGAGGAGCATGTAGGAGCCAACAGCTGTCGAGTGAAATCAGTACATTGGCCTCTTCCCCAGGACTCTGCCGTCCACCGCTGCAGCGGGGTTCCCCTGCTCTGGCCCCAGGGATTCCGCGGCCCCAAGGCCTCACAGCACTGTACAGGGGACTTTGGGGTGAAGCTACCTGATGTGCAAGTTCACTCTCCAATTCTCCTGCACACACACACCTCTCTGATGAGCTGCGATTCCAGGCTTACCACACATGGACCAACGGAAATCAGTCATGCAGACACCCAGCACATTACCAGCCCCTAGAGGCCTCCTGCATTTTACTCCAGATTCCCCCAAGGTCTCTGCTCCAAGATACCACTTAGCGCTTGGCACTCTCTGCTCGCTCTGTTACCACTAGCAGCCACACCTGGCTCTGACACTAGCAATCCAAGCTGAGTTCCTGCTGGTAGCTCTCTGCCTGGCGGAGAGGAGATTCATTAATTCTGTGAACAGCACCGATCTTGATAATCTGCTTCAGTTTACACCAGAGGTGCTGGAACAAGGAGTGCGGGGGATGCTGCTACACCCCCTGACTTGAAGTGGTTTCCATCATATGCAGGGTTTATAATTTGGTTTAATGGCTCTCAGCACCCCCACTGTACACATTGTTCCAGCCCCCCTGGTTTACACTGCTGAGTGCAAGTTCCCTAAGCAAGTCAGCGTCTCCTGTAATCCACAGTGCCCCAATTTAAACCCATCCTCAAGGCTCCAAGATCCAATCTCCATCCTTCCAGTTTGGACTGGGGGGGAGGCAAGTAGAGGTTAACGCACTAGGAGACTCCCTGCAAGAAAAGGGACGATGCTCCTTAACCAGCCAGAGCTTTGGAGGAACAAGAGGGCTGCACTCCTTTACCTCTGGCCTAGCTTCCAGGGTGGAGCTCGAACCCAGGTCTCCCAGGGGAGAGCAATTATTATCTGAATTGTGCTAGCGTGCAGTTGAGGATCAGGGCCCCACTGCGCAAGGCACAGGGCGCACACAGTTCCTGCCTCAGAGAGCCTGACGCTCCAAATCCAGTGGAAATCAAAGGGACACTGGGCACAGAGTGCTGAAGGCTTCAGCCACTTAGTTCAGATGCCAGTCACCCAGCCAGTTCCAGGACACGCTGCACTGCTCTTCTCTGCATGAGAGCACTGCGGGGGGAGAGTGGTGGTCTTGTGGCTGAGACTGAACTGGGATGCAGGAGATCTGGGTTCATTTCCCAGCTCTGATGCTCCCGGTGTGACCCCGGGCCAGACACTTAATCTCTCTGGACCAGTTCCCTGTCTGTGAAATGGAAATAATAATATTCCTTCTCCCACCCTTTGTCTGGCTTGTCTATTTAGATTATAAGCTCCCTGGCTCAGGGACTCTCTCAATGTGTCCAGATCCAGCACATGGCACAACGCAGCCCATCTTGGTTGGGACCTCGACTGCAAAACAAAACCAATCCCAGAGACCGTGACCCAGAACTCTGCTGAACCCAGCTAGGAACAGGAGCAGCAGCTTTCCCTGCAGCACTCTCTCTCTTACGGAGGCTGCCAGCCTGCACCACGACTCAGACTCACCTGCTCAAAGGGCCATACGGAGTCTATTTTGGGTTTGATTTTGCCCTGGTTGTACAGGCTAACCAGCTTGGCCACAACACCCCCAATGAGCTCAAATTCTTCATCCATGTAACCCAGGTGGTAGCCGCACACGGCCTTGTTGAGGTGCAGGAGCTGCAGAGCGTTGATACTGAATTGGTTCCACCATGTCTTCGCCATGGCCACCAGGTTCTTCTTCTGCCCAGTGAGCAGGTTGGCCACCCCTAGGAGGAAGTCAAGGCCACAGTCACGCTCAGAGCTCTCAAAAAGCTAATGCCTGGTGAAGAACCCAGTGCACCAGATCTAAGACAGCTCAGAGAGCACAGATTACTCGCTCCACCTGCACACTCAGGATCAGGTAAGGCCAGGATCTACCAAAGAAAGGCAGAAGCAAATAGGCTTTGAGTGATGCAACAGAGACCCCTTTGGGCCAGCAGATGTGCAGGGTCATTGCTAGGGTAAGTATTCAAAACCGGACAGTTTCTTATCTTAGGACAGGCAGCAAGTTAACACAGCTAGATTTAGGTGCCAAGCCAGTGAGACTGGTGCAACGTCAGAGTACTGCTGATGCTAAAATGCAGCCAGCCGTGTTGGCCGAATCCACCCCAAGATAGGGTTTCGGAGCCTGGCCCGCTGTAATGGTTAATCCTGCCAAAACACTCTGCAGTCCACAGAGTGAGGAGGCCAATGCCAAGGGAGGGAATGCAGTCAGCGTGAGATTCCTGCATATCCCGTCGGGCTGTGTGAGGGCTTTGTCTGTGGGGACAGAATCGCTGTGTTTTGCAGCTGGGGAACGGAGAGAGAAGTATTCGGTAGCTTCAAACCGCGTCACCCACACACCCCACAGAAAAAAAAGTGAGCTTCTGTGAGTGCTGCGAATTAAGTCAGCCTGAACCAGGATAAACTCACTGCAACTGATCCCGTGTGCAGGACACAGATCCCACTTCGCCCTGCATGTGTGTATTCGGACTGGGAAACAACTCTCTGTGCAGGGGAGATTTGATACCGAAGGCAGAGGTCAGCGTATGGAGTGGAGTGAATTGCATCTCTCGGGCAGGGAAAGAGTACAGGAACCTAGGGTTGCAGCTCTCAAAATGAGCCATGAGCGAACCAAACCCCCAGTAGGAATCTGGCTCTCTCACCTGTGTGATCCTCCAGACAAGGCAGAATCTAGAGCTCAGACTACTGTGGTAACCAGCCACAGTGGGCTGCTCTCCCTCAGGACCTGGCTAGGGGAAACCAGTACGAGTGCTCTCATGCAGAGCCACCCCCCAGGCGCTAATGCATAACCCCACCCTACAGGGAATCTGGCCTGCTGACGTCAGCCAAGGGTCTCAAACTGGGGGTCAGGACCCCTCAGGGGGTCACGAGGTTATTACACAGGGGATCGCGAGCTGTCAGCCTCCACCCCAAACCCCGCTTTGCCTCCAGCATTTATAATGGTCTTAAATATGAAAAAGAGTGGTTTTGATTTGTAAGGGGGGGGTCGCACTCAGAGGCTTGCTATGTGAAAGGGGTCACCAGGGCAAAAGTTTGAGAACCACTGATCAGCTGTTCGGTAGACGCATCATTCCCTCATACTTACCATAGGTTATGAGTTTGCCCATTGGCTTCAGGAGGTTGAATGCTTTGGACGTGTCCGATCCTCCCAGTGGATCCAAGACAATGTCGACTCCTAGAGAGAGTTTGCACAAAGAGTAACAGGCTGTTTCCTTCCATTTGCTGAGGGATAGGCCTGTAGCGGGGTAGGGGAGCCCTATCCCACCCCGTCCCTCACGGTACCTTTGGGGGAGATCTTCCGGACCTCCTCCACGTAATCCATACTCCTGTAGTCAATGGGGTGAGCGACCCCGCTTTCCCGGAGGGCGTCATGCTTGGAGGCAGAGGCAGTGCCAAAGATGGTGACGTTCTCCACCGTCTTGCAGAGCTGAATGGCGGCTGTTCCCACCCCCCCTGAAACAGGCAACAACGGGGGAATTAGAGGCGCGGGCAGGACATAGGAGACAAACCAGCCGCCGGCTGTGGTGCTCCCCCCCTCCCCCGCACACACACACCTGACTCCATGCCACGGCTCAATCTGAGCGCGAAGGGTTTGTCTGCGGCTCAGAAAAACTCATGCTTTGAGCCTAAGAGCTTGATGGCCTCAGGCGAACTAATATGGCCCTGGGATCTGCCACCTCACTATGGCGCTCAGGGCTTTAATACAACCAGACCCATCTGATTTTACCGTGTGCCATCCAACAGGCCGGGGTGTGGATCGGATCAGCCAATAGCGCAGTGGGATATTTTGCCAACCCAGCACCTGTGTAACTGATCTGTGTAAGCCTTTATATCAGGGTCGTCACCTCTTTGTCCAAGAGCCTAAGTCATGTCCCCTCCCAGCAGCTGGACTGGCCGCTCTGAAGCCAACTCCCCATAGACTGAGCCCCGTCGGGGCGTGCGTTACCGGCAGCCATGTGGATGAGGATGCTCTGGTTGGGTCTCAGGTTCCCAAAGTCAAAGAGGATCATGTACGCCGTGATGTAGTTGACCAGAAAGGCGGCTGCTTCCTCGAAGCTCATTCCGTCAGGCATCAGGAAAGTCTGATTGGCTGGGACAGTCACGACTTCCTGCCAGAGCCCTGCCCTGGCCAGCACCATCACCTTATCACCAACCTACGGCCAGAGAGAGAGAGAGGGAGGGCGGATAGTGGCATGCTCTGGGTCGGCAGGGAGGTCACACCCAGCATCCTGTGCATCCCAGTCTGCACTTAGCCCACAGCACTCAGCACAAGCACCAGGCCTCCAGTGCCTGGACTGCTCCTGGTCTCTGGATGGGAATGCCAAGACTCTCTGCCTCCTCCACAGACTCAATACACGTACAGCCATCCCCCTAGCCAGGCTCCCTGACACGACACTACTCACTGTGTCGGCCCGGCTTGGTGTGACATACTGGACTGGAAAAGGGAGCAGCAAACTTCTGGAGTTTAGTTTCACTTAGAACATGAAGCTTGGGCTGAAACTTGAGGCAAGGCAGGGAGGGGTGGGGGGGAGAATTCCCAAAACAGGGACCAAGGAGTTGTCCAAGGCCTCGAGCCATTCTGTGACACCTGCTTCCCTTTGAGAGTTACCTCTCTAACAGGGGCCTTGTCTGCTTGAAGGCAGCAGTGTCTTGGGACCATGTGATCTAGCGATGTAAGCATGACACCACAGTGGAGAGAATTTGTACTTTCTACTTTGCCAGGCAGCTCAGAAGACTGACACAGGGGCTCACTTCAGGTTTTCCGTTGGCTCCTAGTGGCACAGTGGTTGGTGTAAACTCTTTAGGGCAGGGACCATTCTCATTGCTAGCTCTCAAACAATAACAGGATATCCAGCACTTTAACGATGTTGAAATGGATACAGACATTGTGCGGAAGAGCCCAGTCATGGAGCTGAAGCTATACCATGCATTTCTCTGCAGACACTTGCAAATTCCTCTCTGGTTCTACAACTTCTGCAGAGATTCCTGCACTGGTTTATATACCTGGCAGTTCTGACTTCTCCAGGCATTGCAGCAACATCACTGTTCTAAGCAGCACAGAATTTTCCCATGAGGCAGGCCAAAAAGAATTTGAAGAGCAATTAGCAAAGGACTCAAAAACTATTAGCAACATGTTTTTTAAGTACATCGGAAGCAGGAAGCCTGCAAACAATCAGTGGGGCCACTGGAGGATTGAGGTGGTAAAGGAGCACTCGAGGAAGACAAAGCCAACGCAGAGAAGCTAAATGATTCTGTCAATAGGTTGGGGTGGCCAAACCGTGGCTCTTGAGCCACATGCGGCTCTTTTACCTTTAAAGTGCAGCTCAAGGGGCCCCCCTCACACTCCCCCCATTCTCTACCTACCAGACTGGGGGTGGAGCTCGGGACCTCTGCCTTGAAGCAGGGTGGTGGGGTCGGGGCTTCTGCTCTGCAGGGGGGCGGGTCTTGGGGCTTCAGCAGGAGCAGGGCTTCAGCCCCAATTCCCAACAGGCATTTCCCATGGGGCTGAAGCCCCGAGCCCCAGCAGGTGCACCCCGGCTCTCAAACTTCTGAAGATTGTTATATGTGGCTCAGAGGGTCAGTAAGTTTGGCCACCCCGGCAGAGGTCCTCACTGCAGAGGATGTGAGGGAGATTCACGAGCCATTCTTTGTAGGTGACAAATCTGAGGAACTATCCCAACCCGAGGCATCAATAGAGGTGGGTTTAGAACAAACCGATAAATTAAACAGTAATAAGTCACCAGGACCAGATGATATTCTCCCAAGAGTTCTGAAGGACTCAAAGATGAACCTGCAGAACTGTGGAATGTAACCTGTCATTTAAATCAGCCTCTGGACCAGATGCTAACGTGGCTCCAATTTTTATAAAAGGCTCAGAGGCGATCCCGGCAATTACAGGCCCATCAGCCTGACCTCAGTACCTGGCAAACTGGTTGAAACTGTAGTAAAGAACAGAATGATCAGACATTGATGAACACAATTTGTTGGGGGAAGAGGCATTGTGCACCGGAAAACCTGACTGCAGGGGCTTCAGCGGCCGTGGAGCCCAGCCAGAGGTGGCTCAGCAGGGGAGGGCGCCCGTCGCCTAGGGGACAGAGCAGCCCCATGCTCACTGGGACCAGGACCGGGGCAGCGGGGGGAAGAGGACGCTAAGCCCCTGCCCAGGGGGCCGCTGCGGAGCCTGCAGGTTCGGCTGGAAATTGCTTCCCCTCCCTACTCCATGCGTTTCTCTGAGGGGTGGCTCCCCCGTGCCCGTGTAGCGTCCACCTGGCACCGGCAGGGGCTCCGGGCGGCTTTGGTACATGCAGGGCTTGGTTCCTCCTGGGCAGCACCCCATGTAGGAGAGTCTTGGGCTTTCCTGGGGCGCTGGCCCGGCCAGAGGCAGCTGGGGAGGAAGAAGCCCGGTGGGCAGGCTACAGGTGTGCTGAGAGCTCCCGCCAGGGGTTCACACAGCGCTGGGCGCAGGACGCGCTCCACCGGGGGTTTATGGAGGAGCAGTGGGGATGGTGGTGGGTGAAGGGGCAAAGTGGGGGGAGGACAGCGAGGAGGGGAGCATATAAAGGGTCCATGGATGGGCAGCAGAAGCAATGTGTGGGGCGGTCACGTGACCCCCCCCATCCTTTCAATTGTGCTCCCCCCATCACCTATGGGTCAACATATCCATAAATGATCTGGAAAAAGGGGTAAAACAGGAAGGTGGCAAAATCTGCAGGCGATACTAAAGTACTCAGGGTAAAGTCCAAAGCAGACGAAAGAGTTCCAAAGGGATCTCACTAAACTGGATGACTAGGCAACAAAACGGCAGATGAAATTCAATGCTGATCAGTGCAAAGTGATGCACATTATGTTTTCCAATCCCAACTATACCTATAAAATGATGGGGTCTAAATTAGCTGTTACCACTCAAGGAAGATCTTGGAGTCTCTGTGCTTAGCTCTTTGAAAACATCCGCTCAATGTGCGGCGGCCATCAAAAAAGCGAACAGCATGTTAGGAACCGTAGGAAAGGGACAGATAATAAGACCACAAATATCATAATGCCTCTGTATAAATCCATAGTACGCCCACACCTGGAACACTGCGTGGAGTTCTGGTTGCCCATCTCAAAAAAAGATATTAAAAATGGAAAAAGGACAGAGAAGGGCAACACAAATAATTGAGAGGATGGAACAGCTTCCCTATAAGGAGAGATTAAGAAGACTGGGACTGTTGAGCTTGGAAAAGAGACGACTGAGGAGGGAGATGCTTGAGGCCTATAAAAGCGTGACCGGTGCGGAGAGAGTGACTAAGGAAGCGTTATTTACCCCTTCACATAACACAAGAACGGGGGGGGGGGGTCGTCACCCAATGAATTTAATAGGCAGCAGGTTTAAAACAAACAAAAGGAAGTACTTCTTCATACAACACACAGTCAACCTCATTGCCAGGGGATGCTGTGAAGGCCAAAACTATAACTGGTTTCAAAAAAGAATTAGGTAAGTTCCTGGAGGATAGGCCTAGGAATGGCCTATCAGTATCTGCTTTATATCCACAGACCATGTTTGGAAGCATGGATTGGATGTGGATACAGATTTCATAATTGCACAAGGCTCTAGCTATTAGCCGAGATGGTCAGGGATTCAACCCCATACTCTGGGTGTCCTTAAGCCTTTGATTGCCAGATGCTGGGACTGGATGACATGGGATGGATAACCGATAATAGCCCTATTCTATTCCCTTTGAAGCATTTGGCATTGGCCATTGTCAGAAGGCAGGTTACTGGGCTAGATGGACCATTGGTCTGACCCAGTATGGCTGCTCTTATGTTCATGGCTGAATTTGTTTGCGTGTGGACAGAGGCTCCTAGGCAGATGATTGCACTGGGTTAGTAAGATCTGTCTTTGAATATAGCATGCCCAACTTTAAGGTGCTGTTCAGTCCAGCAGAGTCATCTGCTTCATGCTCTGTTTGCATCACTGTTCATTCTGAATGACTAAGGGAAGGTTAAGAGCGTCCAGACATTCATGCCTGGTGCCTTTCGACTACAGAGCTAGGTGCAGAAAGCTGGCATGGTGTCAGTATTACCCAGCAAAGGCTTGGAGCTCTGGGGCGTGCTTCAGGATGTTATTTATGGAGTGCCAATACTAACTGCTCAAGCAGCAACTCTAGCTGTGAAACAATATAATACACTTTGGGAATGCGGAGTTACCAATCACCGGAACTCAAACACTGTCCCAAACGTTAGCTGCTCTCACAGTCCCAAATGAGGTTGTGAAGGGGGTACTCTAGGAGCATCAGTCCAGGGAGGGAGTGACTAGGAAAGCATTGCATTTTTTACCAGACTTTTTATATTTTAACAGTATGTGCAATGACCAGTTCTAGATTCTTGATGCCTCAAGGGTTTTCTGAAGAAGGATTTTGGGGAAGTAACTGAGCCCCTCTGAACTCTGCACTAAAAGAGGCATGTGACATTTGTTATACGAGTCAGCTGATAAGTCACAAAGGCAATTTCCATATATTTCTCCTCTTTTGGAAGTGATTTCGCCACAGAGTCCAACAGTTGCACCAAAAACTCCCTGCTAGGATATCAGCAGGGAAGCCTGTGTAGAAGACAGGTTTCAGAGTAACAGCCGTCTCCTTTTCTTTTTGTGTAGAAGAGATTTCCTTCCACAATACAGGCCTTTGCTTTAAGCTTCTGCTCTTAAAAGAAACCTCAGATAATGATGAGAAATATTTCAACGTAAGAGCAGTTTCCAGGACAGTTTGTTAAATGGTCTGACCCCGCAAATCCCGAGGGAATCACAGCAGAAAACAACGTGGCTGCAGGTGAACTCAACATCACAACGGTGCTTACATCACGGCTGAAGGATGATATCAACAGAACCAGCTCTACTCTCTGATGGCACTGGGAGGGGGTGGACAGCGTACAACTAAGACACGTGGAATAACCACTGTATGAACCAACCATATCTCCACAAACTACGTATGCTTCTATCAGATACAAGAATCTGACGTTCTTCAAAGGCAGCTTAAGGGTATGCACATGTGGAAAAAGCCTTTCCACGTGGCAACTTGACGGAGCGAATTCTCAAAATGTGCAGCCATTGCATTCAGATGCCACCCAGTAAACCCAAGTGCATGGGGTAAGCTAAGAGCTTAAGTCTGTCCTGCCAGAC